TTTTTTTTTTTTTTACATACCTTCATCTGCCAGTGAACAACTTTTCTCAACTTGAGCCTTAAAAAGGGCTAACTTTGGAGGAAAGTCAGCTCTTTTGAGGCTGGAATGGGAACCCCTGTTCAAAGAGCTCTGAATTGAGGGTAAACGGATTGTCCTCTAAGAAACCCCCTTCAGAGGTAATTTTGGTGGCTTTTGCCCTCCAGGAGGCCTGGGGCTGCAAACAACTTCTGTCTCTCAGTCACTCAATTCCAGCTTTCCATTGCCCCACTGGGGCTGCCACAGAGGCAGAAAAGAGGATCTCTCTCACACACACACACAAACATACACTCACACCAGGTAACACTTCCTCCAAGTGGCATTGGCCACTCTGTGAGACTCAGGGCCCCTCCCATTGCCCATACACCACCCCCACCCCACCCCCACCCCACGCACACCCCCCCACACAAAGAGAACATCCGGGAGTCTCAGAGCTGGGGACTACTGTCCTAAAGGCATGAAGAGGAAGGAGAGACCCTCAACTAGGGAGGATCCAGTTCAGTGTAACCCTGGAAGAGGTGACAAGAAGACTGGGTGGCGGGGGAAACCACAGTCCTGCTGACATGACTGCTCTGAATTGCAGTCATATGCAGGTGGGCCTGTCTTCCCACTGGACTGCCTGCCAGGCCTCAGTGAGTACTGTCTCCTGGTGCCTAGCACACTGCCCATCCCACTGTGTGTGCTCAGTGCATGTTTGATACATGAGTGGCTGTCCCTGAAGCCATTCTCCCCACCCTTCTTCTGTCTGCCTCCTCCTCCAAGAGGTACCCCACAGGGGCTTGGGAGAGCCCAGCTCCATAGTTCTTTAGGCTGGGGCACCATCACCCCATGGGGGTTGAGGAGGGGCATGGAAGAAAACGGGTGGGGGCAGGAATAGTGCTTGGGCAGACACTGAGACATTTTGATATTCATAAATTGCTTAGGTTGAAATGCATATGAGTTTGCCAGTGACCCATTCTTATATTTTTCTTTTAACAGCTTTATTGGCTGAGAGGCAAAACCGTGGCCTGGGTCCTGGACTTGGGGAGGCTACATTCTTGTAACACAAGAACCTCCCTGTGTCCTCCCTCCCACAGCCCAACCTTGGAGCTTAGTGGAGATCAGATGCAGAGGCTGGGGGTACCCAGGCTGCAGAGACTCCCCCAGCTTCTGCCTGTGTTTGCTCTCCTGCCCCTGGGTCTCTTGCTATCTTCATTGCCTGGGACTACTGCCAGGTCTCCCGTCTCTCCCTTCCCTAAGAGCCCAGGGCTGCCAGGCTAGGACCTCCCTCTGTTTGCCTGGGAAGGCTCAGAACTGAGGCTCCTGGAACAACTAGAGAAAGCCCTTGGGGGAAAAAATTGTGCTTTCCTGCTCAGTGGAGCAGTGCCCACCCCACTTTACCTCAGGGAGTTGGGGGCTCCCAAGCTGTTAAATGAGAGGGAACCTGAGCTGTCTGTCCATGATTTGGAGTAGAGATGGAACCTGGGAGCAGAGGGGACCGGAGTCATGGGGAAAGGCTACCTAGTGGCCTAAAAATAAGGAGGTCATCTTGTTCTCCGTAGCAAGCACACTGCTGGTCTAGTGCAGGTCTGGAGGACAATGTATGTGGCAGCCTGCTGGGTCCATCTTCATGAAACTAGCCTTCTCTTGTGTTGGTTCTGGGCCAGGGACTGAACGCACGGATCTGTCTGAACCACAACTCCAAATCTGCAGGCTTGTTTGGGGCAGATAGCAGAATCAGATCCCCTGAGTCTCTCTGAAGTTTCAGCAGTGCCTTCCCACCCCCATGTGAGTGGAATTAGATTTCCAGGCTTTCTCCCCACTCACACCCCACAACCTGTTCCAGCCCAGGGACTCTCTTCCCTGAGGGGACAGGCATGAAGGAGCTCCAAGCACACACCAGGCCTGAAATACAGGAGAGCTTAGATCTCTTGCTCTTGTTTCCAAGCTTCATCAGCCATTCATTCATTCATTCATTGAATGTATACCTATACCATTCAGCCAACATCTATCAAATAATCTGAAATGCTTCTGATTTAGTCTTTTTGGGTTGGAGTATATGTGGGGTGGTAAAGGCAAGTGACTTAATACCCTGGTTCCCTTCCACCATGGACAAAGGCAGGTCTGCTGAGCTCTAAGTCCCTGCAAAGGGTACGTAAGTCTATGAAAGGCTCTGAGAGGACGAGTCAGCTCCAATGTAGACTCATGAAATTTTGGAGTTGTTGGGACCTTAGGTTTTATGTATCTAACTTACTTCCAGGTGCAAGGATCCCTTCTACATTAGCTTACCATTTATTAAGCAGCTACTGTGTGCCAGGCAGTGGGTCTGAGAAGTGGCTGTGTTCCCTGTGTTTGATGATCTCCAGTGACAGGAAGCCCACTGGCTCCTGTTGGAACAGTCCTACTTCTTTCCTTTCTTGGACTGATCCCAGTTTGCTTCCCTGGCCCTTCCCTCTGTGTCTTCCTCTGCTGTGGAGGGGTAATGGTTCACTCTTCTTGCAAAGGAGTTCTTCTCCTGGCTTAGCCTCAACCAGAGCCATCTCCAACCAGTGCCCTGATGTGGGCTGAGGTCCGGGGTGACTGTGTGCCCTTGAAGGAAATGGTGGGACTGGGGGCTTCCTAAAAAGGGAGTTGCTGCACCCTGCTCCCTAGTGAAACAGGCTTTAGTTTTCATGCTGGACCTGGCTTCTGCAGCTTGTGCTAAGATTAAGGGACTCCTAGAGAGGAGGGGAGGGCACACCCACCAGCCAATCAGGCCAGGGACACCTGAGGTCTTCTTCCCAGCCCTCCCTCCACCTCTTCCCCCAGGCCCCCTCATCTCTCCCTGCTGCCTCTGGTTCTGCGTGCATTCCACCTCTGCCTCCACTTTCTCTTTGTCAGCATTCTTCTTTTCTGGCTCTCTGCTTTCTCTTTCTCTCAGGCTTCTCCTCCCCTCTCCTGTAAGAGCAAAAAAAAGTCTATCCAGGCAAGTTGGAGCCTCCATCAACCTCAGTTTTCTCATCTACCAAATGGGAATAATAATAAATATTTGTGTTACTGAAAGATGATCATTAAGGGGGACCTAGATGCATGACACAGTTTTCACTAAAAAAAAAAAGTTTCTTTTCCCCTTCTCTCCTTTTTTCTCCTGTTGAGTTTCTTCTACATTTCCATCTACTATCACCTCTGTCCTCTTCTTCACAATTTATCTCAGTGTCTATCTCTGTGTCTCTCAGTTCCATCTCCCCCTCGCTCCTGTTTTGTCTCCCACCTCTTTTTATTCCCTCCTGGTTACCCCCCTGTCCACTCCCCCCAACTCCTGCCACAGGCAGCAGGGCCCAGGCTGTGCTGACAGCAAGGGCAGGCCGGCAGGCCGGCAGGGCGGGTGGCTGTCTCCACTTCTCTTTAGAGGCCCAAGAATGTGTGGAGTCATGAGGGACAATGGGAGCCTGCGGCAGGAAGAATGGGGCCTCTGTTGGGGCAGAAGTTTCCCAAATCCAGCTGAATGGGAGTACCTGAGGGCCAGGGAGGGGTGGAAACTCCTGAAGTGGAGAGGAGGCCACAGGTGGTAGGTGTGGGGGATGGGCAGGGCTCTAGAGTTGGCCACCGTGGGAATTCTTAGCATCTGTTGGCATTTCTGGGAAGAACTCAGACCTCAAAGGTGACTGCCTCTCTCCCTGGAGTGGCCAAGGAGGAAAGGGATCCTGGGGGATAGAACCAGGGGAAGCAAAAGAGAAAATGTTCCAGTGGCCGTGTAAGGTGGCCCTTATACACAGGGGATGTCCCTTGGGCCCCTTGGGCTCCTGGGCCCCAGTTCTCACCACCAGCAAGCTGCAGAAAGGTTGTGGTGGGCACAGAGGAGACAGGAATCGTGGGCATGGCCCCAGCTTGAGGAGGGGGAGTCCTTGGGGTTCTTGCCCAGCAGCGGCCTTTCACTGCCCAGGTTCTTGGATTGGAGGAAGGAGGGTTTCCTCGGGAAAGGAGGTGAGGCTTGACCTGCTTCTTCTTCCTCCATATTCCAAGTGAGGTTCAGTCCGGCCTGAGACATGATGGCTGTCCCCACCTCCATCCCCAGCCCAGTCCCTCTGGCCCAGACACCTTAGAGAGAGATGCCCCGCTTCCAGAGCTTACTTGGAGCTTGTCAGGTGGGCTGGGATTGGTAGGCAGGCCAGGGGCTGAGCCCTTCATGTGCCCAGGGATAGGCAGCTGGGATTGGCAGGCTATCGCTAGGAATCCGAGCAAAGGACTGGGTGAGGGTGGGTGGAGGGGGCCAGGCTCAGGCAGGTCTGAGAAAGGAAATGGAAGGACAGACAAGTGCTGACCTTGTCCTCCCAGGGCAGGGGAGTGGTAGGAGCAGAATAGGGGTATGGGTGAGAAGAGGAACCAGGGCTGCGGAGAAGGGGAGGGGGCCAGGCAGGAGAGGGGGCCTGCAGGGAGCCATCTCAGGTCTCCTGCCAAAAATTAAACTATAAAAAGGCCGGAGGGGAGTGGCAGGGGAAGGAAGGAGAGAAAGGAGATGGGGAGGGAGGGAGGGACCAAACAGCCCCTCCGAACCAATGGCCCGGCAGGGGGACGTGAGTAATACATGGCTGGTTCAGAGGGAGTGAGATCAAAAGCCAGAGATACAAGAGGTTTGTGCTTCACCGACCAGACAGCCAGAGGCTCAATGAGACCTTTGTTACTCAGGCCCAAGTCAGGGTTGAAGGAATACCTGACCGCCCCGCCTGCCCAGCCCGCCCCCACCCCCACCGTCCTCAGGGCTGGGGGAAGGGCGGGTCACAAGTGAGTCAAGTTGAGTTGGGTACAGCTCAGCCCAGGCCGGTGGTGGGCGGGCAGGGGGAGGGAGGAGGCCTGCCCTCACTGGGGCGTGGAGCTTCTCGGGGGTGAGTGGAGGAGTGAGTGGCTGCCTGGAAGGCAGGAAGTGGCTCTGCGGGGAATTGTGAGGCGGACTGCGAGGGAAAGGGGGCCTTGTTGAGTCCGCCAGGTGAGCAGCCCCTGGGACCCCCAGCCCCTGGCCCAGCATCCCCTGGGAGGGAGCTGAGGGCATTCTGCCTAGAGTCCATGGCTTTATGCAGGGCCTGGGTCTGGGGTTCTGGGGTCCCATGAGAAAGGATGGAAAGGAGAACCAGAGGGGGTTGGAGCTGGAGTGGATGACCCAAAGTTCAGGTGGGAGGCTGCAGGATGCCTAGTTATTTGGCCCTTAAGGTTGGGCATGGCTGGAGTGTGTGGAGGGGCGTGCTGTGCCGTGCTGTGCTGTGCTGTTGTTGGGGAATGCAGGATTCCTGTCCAGTGAAAGCAGGTTGCTTCAACCAGGGTCGTGCAGAGAGCCAGCAAGTGTGGCCCTGGGGCTGAGGGTACAGTTGGGGTGGGAGTGGCAGCTACTGCCTGGCAGAGGTAGGGCCTGATCTGGGCCTAAGGCCTCTTACCATCTTCTTGGGGACCCCTGGGAGAGGTCTGAGGCCCCTGGGGCTTTCCTGAGCCTGGGCTAGCAGGAGCCCTAGAGGCCCACTTCTCTGAGGCTGATGCCTGCAGCTGACCCGTCACAGGGGAGGGGCTGGGAAAATGGTACTTGTGATTAGAACACATCTTTTCCAGGGCCTTGAAACCTTGGTTCCCCTCAACTCAGCTCTTCAGTCCATTCCTGGAGATGTCTGTGCTAACCCCCATGTCCTGCCAATGAGAGCGGCAGGGCACTGCGCACCCCTCCCACAGCCTTGTCAGGGATGGCTCCAGAGTGAGCTGCCCTCAGCCTGGGGAGGTTTCAGCTGCAGCCCTCTTTCTGCCTCCAACCGGGTCTGGAGATGGAGATCTCACTGTCCTCTGAACTATGCAAGAATGGGTGTTGTCGGTAACCACCCAGACTGGTCTGGGTAGGGTGGCCCAGCCGCCACCCCTGGGGGCACTCAAGAAACCTATTTACCCCTCTAAACAAAGGGCAGGTCCTCATCACTGCCCTCCTTTACCCAGACCCTCCTTTGTTGCCCACTGTGCTTCCAGTGGTTGGACTAGAAAGAGTTAAGCTTTGCAAGGAGGGAGGCTAACTTGGGGCCCCCCTGTCCTGGGTACTGGCAGCAGCACAGCCTTGAAAAGATCCGGCCTTATTCTCTAGGGGAGGGGTAGTTAAGGACCCTGGGCAGGGGGCTGGAAGCTAATTAAGGGAATTTGAGGAGGTCCTTTATGGCCAGGAAGCCACCCCTCCTCATACCCTGGAGTGAGGACCATTGTGTGAGTCCTTTGTAGGGCAAGAACTGGAAACTCATTACTGGGATGGCTTTAGTGCAGGTGGTAGAGGATGGTGAGAGAATTTAACCTGGGGGGCCTCATCCTGGAGGGAGGCAGTGTGGGTGGGTCTGGTGTGGGGGGTGCTGAGAAGGGGAGTGAGGGCTTCTCAGGTGCCTCAGCTTCTCACCTCCCTGTGAGATTCCTGCCGCTGGACCCCTCCACTCTGCTGTGGCCTATGGCTTTTCATTCCTATGTGATTGCTGTCCCAAACTCATGTAGGGCTAAAAGCCATGGGCTACAGTGAGGGGCGAGCTCCTTCTCCTGCAGCAACTGCACCTCCCACGGGACCAGGTTCGGAGCCAGCCACCAAGGGGCACCAGAAGGAGGCTCTGCTTGGGGGTGGGGCATCACGGGATCTGGTAACCTGGGATCGGGGCTAGGCCATGTGACCTTGGCCCAGTCACTTCCCTTCTGGCCCTGTTTCCTCACTCTGGAATGAAGAGACTGGGCCAGTGATTCCAGAGGGAGATTCCCTCTGAGGAAGGAAGGAGACCTTCAGGGTGTGCTGAGCTTTCTGAGTCGGTTCCTTCCCCCTTGCCAAGTTACTGAGGCCTGGCTCATGGCCAGAGATTTGGGGGCTGGAATCAAGGGCCTCAGGCCATGAAGACTTGGGCCTGTGCTTGTGCCTCACTCCTTCACGCCTTTCTCCGAGGTCAGCTTGGAATCCGCAGCCTTTTTTCTGTGTAAGGAGACCTCCGGGCTCTTTCTGAGGCTGAAATGGGAACACTCCATGCTGGCCACGAGGGAAGAGGAGGTTTCTGTAGAGTGAAACTAGGAAGGCAGGCGCTCCCCCCTGGGCGGCAGGCTGGATTCCAGGGCCCCTCGCTCCTGGTGTGCTACTGTCTCCAGGAGCTGCCCCCTCCTGCAGTGTGTGAAGGGCACCAGCCCTCCCTGCCCCAGTCCTGCTTGTCACTCTGCTTGCCTGGCTCCTCCCTATGCCTGTCTCCACTCCCACATTCCTTCCCCTGTCCCCTTTTAAATCGGCCTGACTTTATCCCTACCATCCTGGAAGATTCCAACAGGTGGCTGTGGTAGAAGAGGAAGCATCCTTGTGTCCCGCCTTCTACCCCCTGTTCCAGTCCCCAGTCTGTCTAAGACAGACCACTGAAGAATTATAGAAAGCACTCGATTTGGTATTGACAATCAGAAGGCAAGTTTCTTATAATATCTCAGAGCCCTTAATTTCACCAACCAACATTTACTGGATACCTACTATGTACCCCATGATTCTAACCACCTTATCTGCACTAACCCATTTCATCCTCCAGACAGTCCTGTCTACTATTAGCCTATTTTATTTATAGGAAGTCTGAGGCACAGGGAGCTAAGAAATTGGCCCAAGTTCATATGGATAGGAAGGAGCAGAACTGGGACTTGAACCCACATGGTCTGGTGCCAAAACCCATGCTCTTAGCACATCATGCTGCCTATTGGGAGAGCCAACACCAGTGCATGGGAAAGTACTCTGAAAACCAGGGAGTGCTGTACCCACACGGGAGATTGTTCTCACGAGGTCTCTATTGGAGGTCTCTATTGGATGCACGTCCACAAATTGGCCCCATGGCCCAACTCCAATCACCCTTTGTCCATCACTGGTTTTCCTTTTCCCACAGGAGGTTGCGGGGCGGTGGGGGGGGGGGGCGGGGATCAGAACAATAGGAGAAGCAAAGAGAAATCCCAAGCCAGCTGGGTTTTTGCTGGGGCTGATCCAGGCTACTTCCCCTCCTGCCCCAGCTTAGATGGTGAAAGGAACAAGGCATGAGAATTGGCCAGGGTTTCTTACTTGCCCTCTGGGTTCTCTCACCCAGAGTTCAGAGATGGCTGGCACCTTCCTCCACCTCCCTCATTGACCAGCTGCCCTGGGCCCACAGTGAGCCTATCCTATTCCCTACCCTGCTCTGAGGCTGTCCAGGCACCTGATTTGCTTTCCCTTAACTCCTGATCTCCTAACTGGAAAGCCAGGTTAGAGCCATGCTCGCTTCCTGCCCCCTGCAACTGGGTCCCTCCCAGGAATCCTGTTGTTCAGTTTGCTGGGGTAGTCCCCAGCACTGGGCTGGGCTTGGGAGGAAGGGTACAGATGAGCCATTCCAGAGATTAAACCTCTGTGAAGCTCTAGCAAGGCAAGGCACTTTGTAGGGATGGCTGAGTAAATGTTTGTTGAATGAAGTGTGAACTGGGAGAAAAGAGGTAAGTTGCCACCAGCAGGGACATAGAGCAAGCTCACAGCTCAGCAACTCACCCAAGACAGTCCTTGCTTTGCTGGGGCTGGGCCTGGATTGCTTCTGGAGTTACAAAGGTGGATCTCCATTCTATTCTTTGTCTTCTGTGGCTACTGCCCATGGGACAGACCCGAAGAAGATATGCAATTGTATATTTCACGTAATTGTTCAACTGCATTGAATAAGCAAGTTGCCCTCATGCCCCTTCTCCGTGGAGGATTCACAGATCAGAGGGCTGCGTATGTCCTGTCCCCTACCTGCAGATGGCTGAAACTTTATTCCCAGCAATCTAAGTCTTTTTTACAGTCCTCAGATATACCCAGCATAAGGCCTCCCTTGCGAGAGTGGGCCTGTGTTTAACAACACTGAATTCAGATGACTCTCTCTTATTGTATTTGTTCCATTTTTAGTGGAAATAGAGTTTGACTGCTAAGCCCTACTCCTTCCTAAATATAAAGACTATTGGTGGGGAAAAAGTCTCTGTCCCCAGCTTTCAAAAGTTTGACACTAAAGTCAGACCTTTCGGGTTCGTTCTGGCGCTGACAGTCTGGTCCACCGGTTCCCAGCTGCTGCTGTCTGTCATGTTGCCCACTCTTAGGGTGGGCCAGCCTCTGCCCAGCCAGGCTGGAAAACCCTGGGTGCAGGCCACGAAGACATTTCAGGACTATTGCTGTTCTGACCTCTCCAGCTCCCGAGAATCTCAGAACCACTGAGAATGCCTGGCTGCCCTTGCAGTCTGCAAAAGTGGAGGGAGCTTTCTCCATAGGTGGGCAAGCAAGATACAAGGAGGGCTGGCCCGGCAACCTAGGTCTGTGGCCTCTGAAGGCCATTGGAGGCAGAGGCCTTGGCCTGTGATTCCAGAGAGCTTGGTGAACCAGAGGCTGGAGCTCAGGCTCAAGCAGGCCAAGAAGGAGTTAACCTCCAAGGAGAATGCGGGTTTCTCCCAGACTGGAGGCCTGTGCCCAGTTTTGCTGCTGCCAACTCCAGGAAGAAGTCCTGGGATCTGTAGTTTGTGCCACTACCCACCCCTGGCCTGCCTGTTTATCAACACGGTCTTGTAGACTACAGTTCCCAGAAACCTGCAGAGGCTAGGCTTTGGGGGAAGGGGTGGGATAGGAGGCTCCGTGGCGGCCAGAGGGAGAGGGAGAGGGAGGAGGTGGGGAGAGAAAACCCAATTCACCCCCTTCCTTTTTAATTCTTTCTCCTGGTGTGTCTGCTCCACCACCCGAGCTAATCCCCCAAATCCGGTCTCCTAAGCCGCAGCTGCTTCCCTTCGCAGTGATGAATGGCTCAGGGAGGGAAGGTGAATTCATATTTTAATTACTGAGGCGCGGTGCTAAGGGAGCCGGGGAGGGGGCGGAGGGCTCAGCTTTGTTCTAGAGGCGCCAAGGGCACACCCTCCTTACTGGGTCACTTCTCTTTTGCCCTTTACCTGGGGTGGGGGGTGGCGGGGAGTGAGGGTGGCGGTTGCCTTGCTGAGAGTGCCTCTGCTCTCTGCCTTGGGAGATGAAGGGATGGGTCGTGGGGGGCGCAATATCCCTCTTCTTGTTTATCAGAGAATTCCTGGCATGTCCCAACACTTTTAAATAGCTTCCTAGCCTTCCACCCCCGCTGCCGCCCACTTTGATGAAGGACATTGCCAAAATTCGAGACACCTAGGAGTTTGTGGTCTGCAAGCCTGGGGCCCTGAATTTCTTTTTATCTTACTTTCTGGCCTGCTCTGAGTCTCCTCTTTCTCTTGGTTCTTCCACATGTTCATACTGCCTCTGACTCACTGCCCCATTTTTGCCAGAGGTGCAAGGGTTGGAGGACCCTGGGAGAGTATCTGGCACAGAGAGATGTGGGGGTCAGGCCAAGGGAAGGGATCAGCAGGGAGGCCGAGGAACCTCCTAGTGGTGGGGGAGGATGGATTGGCATCTCTTCTGCTTGGCTCCCACAAAGCTGGCTGGGCAGAGCATCGTCTATGCCCCCAGACCGTAAACCATCTTGGACCTGAGCTGGGAAAAAGCCAGAGAGGAGGATGGGGAAGAAGCCAGGGCCAACAGCTTGCAGTCAGATGCAGCCAACTGTGTGATAGCAGGAGGTTTGTCCAGTGTCCACCCCGCCTCTCTGTCCTATTCTGGGCTTCTGGGGGCTGTTTTTCCATTCCTTAGTCCCTCCTGGACTATGGGCATGGAAAAGGAGCGGGAGGGTGGGAGGGGAGTTCCCATGATGAGCTCTGATGAGTGGGGAATGGACCCAGGCACTAGTCCAGACTCCTCCCCCTCAAATAGATGCAGCAAAGGGACCTGACTTCAGGGAGCCTCTAGCTGGTACTGGAGCCCTCTGCCAAGGGTGAAGGGGTAAAGACAGGGAAGAGAGTCGACAGGACCCCTGCCCGGGGAGAGCAGAGAGGAGCAGAGACCACAGCCTGGCAGAGGGACTCCCCAGGTACCTGCTGCTGGGGACTCTGAGGGAGGAGTGGGGTTCACAGCGGGCAGGGACACTGAAGTGGGTTGGAATTCTCTGCCCCATGTCCCCCCACTTCAGGGGCCAGCCCAGCAATCTGCCTGCTGCAGACAGAGCCCAGACAGCCTCCCGGGCTTGGAGTTGTGCACCTTACAGTGAGGACCCTTTTAGAGACCCTGTTAGAGAAAAGGAAGGATAACCAGAGCACTTTAGAGCAAAGACCTAAGCAGAATAACCAGGCCCTGTTTATTATACTTTCTGCTCTTAGATACAAGGACCCAGGAATCCCACTGAGGCAGGCAGCCAGCCCTCGAACACCTCTCGGGAGCCAGGCTGCAGCCCCTAGCCCAGCTCCTGGCCAGCTTCGTTAGCTCTCCTTTCCTCTGATGTGTAGGTTCTGGTTCCTGTGACTTGACACCCTATCCTTCCCTACAGTGACAAGCAGAGCAAAAAAGCCAGGATTTTCTTAAATTCCCCAAAGGACCCAGGGGAGGAACGGGTCACTTAAGGGGGTATATTTTGCTGTTTTTAAGAAAGAATAGTCATTGAAAAGGAAGTGAGGTGAAAAGGGAAGGGGATCGATGCACCCTGAGGCCAGAGACCCTAAGCTGCACCTTGACCTGTTTGTGGGGCTGCTACATGCCTGGCTTGTTTTAGTTGTGAGTTCCTTCCCAGATCAGCCTTGTTGTGCCTGTCAGTTTCTCCCCATGTATTTTTCAATAATCATGGGAATGCTTTGTTGATCGTACCCTTGACTTACACCCCCAGCAAGAGAAGTGCACACATGACAATAACTGATTACAAGGGAATCCACCTGCCCACCCTCCCTTCTTCCTGATCAAATTAGGATTCCACCCCCTTAGGTTTGGGGTCTTAGTGTTAAACCTTGCCTGATCTCCTGGTACACACTGAAATGAGGTAATGAAGGCCCAGAGAGATGTAGTCACTTGCTTAGGATGACACAGCATGTTAGCATCAGAGCCAGGAATAGAACCCAGGCCACCTAAGTCCCAGATTGGATCCCTGTCTCTCTCTAGGTTTGTCACAGGAGGGATCCAGAGATAGCTGCAGTGGATAGATCTAGAAATATAGTAGTTGTGTCTCGGCTCTATATATATCCTGGAGGTTGCTCTCTGCTAACTATATATACTCTGCCAGAGTGGGTGTGTAAATGATGCTGGAAATCGGGTTATTAAATAACCAGCCTACCTACCCATGCTGACTCAAGCTGGGCCTCCTGCCCATCCAGCTGGCCAGTGGAAATGCATTGCACCTATTAATTACAGCTAATAGCTGTATTACTGGGATGCTGAGAGACTGAGGCAGGGGAGAATCTTGACAGGACTTGGCTCCACTGGGCACCGTGCTTGGTGTGGGCCTCAGCTTTGTCTGGAGAAACACGAAGGAAGTTTTTCCAAAAGGGCAAGGTTGGCCAGACCGGTGGAACTGTCCAGAGAGCCACCACCTGGGCCATGCCACATTCCTCAAAGGCAGTGAAACCACTTTGCACATGTGCCTTGCTAGGGTAGCCCAGGACATCCTATGCAATCTCTATTGCTTGAGGGGCTGGAGAAGGGAGGCGCCTCATGCTTCTCTATTCCTAACCCCTCCAGCATAACCCTGTGCCTCCCTCCTTCCCCGCAGCACTTGGGCTTCACTCACCTGCTTGTCCTCATGTTCTTCCTGGAGAGAGGAGTGATTCAGACCAGGCCCGGGCCTGACCTCCATGCAGGGCGCTTTCCTTCCTTTGTTCTCAGCTTCTCCGCTTGAGTGGCTTGAATGCACTTCTGCTCCCTTTCCATAGGCCCAGGGGCAGAGGAAGGGCAGAGAGGTGAACTGGAAAAATCTGCAGGTGGCTAAGGCTAGGGAAACCTAAATGAGCCTTTGTAGAAAGGGATACTCTTGCAGACTGAAGCTGAGCTCCCGAAGCTCCCTCTCTTCCCCAGCCAGACTGCCACAGATACCAGAGCGGCCCCTGGCTCCTGCTGAGGGCCTGGTTAGCCAGAGGTGGGGGACGACATGTCCAGCTGGGGCAGATCCAGCCTCAGCCTCTACCTCAGACTTATGTGCCAGGGAAGAACCATGTCTTTACCCTTTTGCATCTACCTCTCAACCCCTTTGCCCAGCATAGGTGCTAAATAAAAGAGCCTGTTGGCTAAAAGAACCCTCTTTGCTGTCTGTTCTCTGCATGGTGAGGATGGGATTTGCATTGCTCTGAGCAGTCAAAGGAAGGGCATAATCGCTCCCTATAGGCTTTCCTAGGGTGTCAGACAACTTGGGGTTGTTAAGCAAGGGAGGAATCTGACTCGGTCCCAGGTGTCAAAGTAAAGCTACACTGGATGAAGGGGTCTGCATTTGGATGGAGGAGGGCCTGTCGTGTGCGACCTGCAGAAGCGAGTGAAAGCCCCCAGCTGGAACCTGTGTAAGGTGGCACAAGCCAGAGTCTATTTTAAGCCAGCTTGCTTCCTGTTCCCCAACCAGGTGTATGGTGATGAGGTGAGGCAGAGCGGGCGGGAGGGGAAAAAAGGAGGCAGCAGCTGGGCTTTCTCTTTCCTACCTTGGACTCACCCAGTCTCCAATGTGAGGAATGACATCAGCTCCACACAGATCAGGAAACACTGAGGTTTCAAAGAGCTGTTGTTTGGAGGCCTGACTCCTCCCCCAGCCGGTGTGAGAGACCTAGCGGGCCGCCTCAGGGAGTGGCAATGACTGGGCCAGACCCAGAGGGTTCTGGGAGCATTAACCCCAGCTTGCTTCTCTCTTCCTGCCTTTCTCCTGCCCCATCTCCCTCCCCTCCCTTTCCCTGCAGATCTCTGGTGAGTGTTCTCCCAGCCTGGTGTAGGGCATGCCCCAGTTCACTTTCGCCTGCTTCTGTGGTCTCCATGGCTTCTGCAAAATGAAGAGGAAGAAGGAGGAAGTTCACAGAGAGCGGGAGACGGCGGTGTGAGCAGAACCAGGGCCCCTCCATCAAGCCCCCAGCAGGTCCCCGGCCTGATGGTGCCCGCTTCTGGCTGGGGCTTGGAGCAGGAAGCCATGTGTGTATCTTAAGTCTTGATTTAGCCAGTGCTCTTCTCAGCCTGACTCTCACCAGAGGGCATCAGCCTCCTGTGTACCTCTCATCCTTCTCATGCCCACCACACCCATTAGCTTCCAATTCTCAGACCTCCTTGGAGAGAGGCCCCAGCCACACAAGGGGGAACCCCAGGACCTGCCGCATGCCTTCCAGAGACTAAGAAGCCCCAGGGAGGCTGAGGGGCGAAACTTCTTTCCTGCCCTGAGAGCTTCGGGGGACTCTTCTCAGGGTAACCGCATGAGGGATGTGCTGCCTTGGGCTAGGAGAGCTGTTGCTAAATAGGAAACTGGCTGCTTTAGCAGAGAACCTCCAGCAGCCCTGACCCTGGAGAAGGCCTGTGGGGCGGAAGTGTGAGACTCTCCTGCGGTTGCAGGAAGCGGGGCATGAGTCCTTTTCCAGCCCCCTCCCAGCATCCTTCTGGGCCAGGTGGGGCCAAGCCTGAGGTGGTCATCCCAGTGAGGAGGAGGGCAGAGGTGGCCGGCGGCCCCGCGGTTCCCTCTGTTCTTGCTCTCTGGAAAGCAGTGTTTCCTCCAGCCCTGGCCATGACGCACCCATGTTCATGATGCCGGCGCCTCCTTGCCAGTGGCACAGATGTGGGGAGGCCTGTTCCCCAGGTCCTGACTCCCCTCCTCAGGGACTGTCTTGCGGTGGCCAGACCGAGGGACCCCTTTCCTGCACTGAGCCGTGCCCTTGCTCGATTCTCCTGTCTCCCCTGCCTTTTTCTTCTCTCCTCAGAAGCCATAGAGGGGACCGCGTTTGTATGTGGTGCCTTCAGGGGAAACTCTTGGGGTGGGGGACCTCTAGGACTTTCCTTGACTTTTTCCCTTATCTCCCACGCCCATCAACCTTCCAGCTTCAGTCTCTGCCCTTACCCCCAGCCCATTTCCAGGAGGTAGGAAGCAAAAGAAAAAAACATTTCCTTCCCTCTTTCCTTCTTCCTTCCTTCCTCTCTCCCCCCATTTTGGTATAACTTAGCCTTTTGTCTTTAATCCTGGAGTTCTCCAGGGCTAGAAGACATGCAGACAGGAATGCCAGCGGCAGAGACGCTTCAGGCAGATTCTGTAAGCCTGTTCTCCCGCATCGGGGAACAGCTCAGCCAAGGAGCAAAGTCAGATCCCCTCTTGCTCCCCAGGGACAGAATAACCCTTCTGACAGGTAAACAGGTGACCTGGGTAGACAAGTCAAGGCCTCAAGATAGGAGAGTCTGGGCTCCCCTTTCCTTAGAACGTGGGCCTCTCTGGGCAACCAGGGAGGGCAAAAGGCTTCCTCGGCTGGTTCGCCCAGAACCTGGGAGAAGCAAGGGCACATTCTATGCTGGCAGCCTCTGCCTGCCCAGCTCATACCCACACTCAGGGCCCTTTCCTGGGCTTTGGGCAGATTTGGTGGGATCCAGGTTCCCTTTATGAGGCTTGAGCACAGCTTGAGCTCCTCCTCCCATCCTCCATCCCCTTCCTTTGCCCCTACCTCCCAGCCCCCGCCTTCTACAATCTGTTATTTCCTTTTATATCCAAAGAATTATAAACAGAAGTCCTTCCCTGAAGGGAACAACAAGATTCAGCAATAAAAGCCAGTGGGTCACAAAGGAGAGGAGACAAGCTCCCTGGTTATTTGTCCTCTTGGATAGTAGAGGCCTTGGGTGAGGAAAAGAGATGGGCAGAAAAGTTAGCTTGATACAGAGGTCGGAGAGCTGCCTGGAGGGCATGTGTGTCCCTAGCGGTCACCTGCGAGGCTACAGTCCTAGAGAAGTCACTTCTGTGGCAGAGGATGAAACTGTATCCCCGGAGACTCAGAGGTATTGGGTGTTATGTCCCAACCACACGGGCTCATCAGGAGGAAAGGTCAGGAAAGCGGAGAAAGTGCGTCCTGGGGAGTGGGTGGCTGAGGAGAGCTTTCCCCAGGTGTGCCTCTCAGACCTTGGCAGGGATTGCAGCTGCAGGGGGCTGGCAGGGAGCCCATCCAGAGAACCTCTTCCCCCGGGAGAACTCCCTTGGCTCCAGAGGGATACTAGATATCTTGAGCCCTGGCTTTGGGAACACGGGTGGGGTCCCAAGGTCAAAATGTTCTGGGTGGAGGTCCAGTTGTCCTCTGCCACCAAGCTGGCAGTGCCTTCTTCACCCAGATCTGAGGTGGGGGCCAGCACTGCAGCTGGAATGGTCTGAGTAGGAGGTAGCAGCTTCTAGCCAGGCACACCCCAACCCCACATTCTGTTGTCCCTCGGTTTCCTTCTCAGGGAAATGGGGACTTTGCTCCTTTTAGCATCTCCGGAAGCAGTCTGGAGACCTGTGCCCTCCTCTAGGCCCTTGAATGAGCCCAGGGAATAGGGAAAGACCAAAGCAGCGCCAGCATTCACAGACCCTGCACCCTGGGCCTCTGACTTCGGGCCAGGCTTCTGCTCCTTCTGGGGTGGGCCTGGCTGCCCTGCCTTCCCATCCTCTCTCCATGGTTCTGTCCCAGAGACTCCACCTTGAGGTGGGGGCCCTGAGCCCTTGGGGTGAGGGAGGGGCACATGGGTTGATGATTCTGTGGAGGAGATCGGGCCTCTTGTTCTTGCTGTGTGGCACTTATTCCTCCTTGCAGACAGGTGGGGGCATCAGTTTTCCCCATCTGTAAAGCGAGGACTTCCCATGGCCATTTTCCCTCTTGGGCTTCAGGCTGTTGAATGGAAGATCAAGAAGTGTGAAGGGTGCTTGGGGTCCCTGTGACTTGACTGTTGCCTAGGACCCTGGCCCCCAGGACCCAAGGGGCTTCTTGTCTCAGGTTGAAACCTTTTTATTAGAATGTCATTTTCTTCTCTGCTCCCAGGGAAGGGCTTCTTGAATGTAGCATATCGGTTCATAGAAATATATAGGGAGATTGTTACTTTTAGAAAAAAAGAGCAATAATTAACTAACTGAAATACACATGAAGTGTTAGAGTGGGGCGCAAGGAGCACTGAGCTGGGAGCCAGGTCTCCTGGCTTCTAGCCCTGCTTGGAAACTAATGACCATGTGACCTTAGATTAGTCATGTCTTATTTCTGAGACTCAGGTTCCTCAACTGTAAATAGGGGATTACATGAATTTCCTCTTAAGTCTCCTTTGGAGTCCGGGGCTCTGTGAGTCTGGGAGGTTGAGCCTCAGTGGGGCATAGGGTTGTGGAACCAGAGGGTCGCAGGTTTCCTCTGCCCTCACAGATGCACTCTGTGCAGACAACAGACGTGGGGAGAGTGGGTGGAAGTGGTACGGTGGCTCTGAGAAGTGAGAGGGGGAGCGAGAGGGAAAGGCAAGTCACCCAGAGCTTCTGCTGGTATCTTCCTCTAGCCAGGGCCCAGGGCTTCCTGCAGTTCTGCCTCTCTTCCCTCCTACAGCCAGGCCCAAAGGGAGTAAGTCAGTTGGCCTGGACTCTGACTCCAGGTCCTGTCTAGGCCATCACAGGCGCCACTCTTATGTACACTCTCACTTTCTCTCTGTCACATACACACACCATCACCACCACCACCACAACCACCTGCAGATAGATGCTCAAGTGATTCTAGAAGAGATCTCAAGGACTGGCGCCCTGGTCCAGTTTTGTAACCCATGGGCTTCCCTTTGCACAGCTCCTCATGTGCCCATCTCCATGCTGATCAAACTACCCCACCTCATTCCTTGCCTTCTGCAAAGGGAAGAGCCTCAGGCTAGAGTTTGTCCTGTCTACAGACTGAATGTGCATTTTGCCCAGTGGCTGGGGATGTGCTGGTGGAATGTGCCGGTGATCGTTTCTGGATGGCGAGCCACAGCCCCACAGTGTTCTGCCATGACTGACTCCTGACCTTGGCAAATTGCCTCCTCTCTCCCAGCCTCCTCCATAACAGGTGGCAATGAGTCCCATTTCCTCCCTACCTCACAGGAAGGCACGCATGATAAAGGGCACACTTATCAGATGTGCCCAGATGTGGCTGGAACTTTTGGAGACAGATACTTGGTTCACAATTGCAAAGGTGGACTTTTGCCAGAGAAGAAACTCTCTGGGCTGCTGAGTTCAGTGGGCTCCTTGCAGACTGGTCCAGGAGGTCTGGTGTTCCTCCTGAAGGTGGCTGCTGTGCCCAGCAGGCGATCAAGCTGACAATACCACAAGAACCAAGAAACAGAATCTGTTCCCAAGGAATGAACGTTCTATCTCTCTGACCCAAAAGCAAGAGCAAGAGAGAGCCGTCACCATCATCACCCTGCTCCCAACACAAACACAGCCCCTCAAGTCCATATTGCTGACAAGGGTGTCTGGCTCGTCAGGGTGAATCCTCTGGACCCCCAGGCCATCCCTGGAGTGGTCAGTGCACACTGTGTCGGGGTTGTTGTGCAGTCCGCCTGGGTTCCCTTCTCTGAATTTCCATGGGATAGGAACTATAGGATCATGAAGAAGAAATAGGAACCTTGACTCTTCACAGAGGAGCCCAGGAGGTCAGGACCATCCACCAGGAGGGTGAGTGGTAGCTGCCCAGGGCATCCCTGGAGGAAGTCGTCATACTGAGGAAGAAACTGCAAAAGCCAAGAGCTCCTAGACCTGGGCAGCTCAGGAGCTGGCAGAAACCCCTCAAGTCTGGAGTTCAAGGGTTTTCCTCGTGGGCTGCCGGTCTGTCTCTTTCCCTTCTGGGGCAGCCGTCTCTCCTCCTTCAGCTTATTCCCGTGTTCCATCCGAGGGGCGGGAGGAAGGCAGGAGGGGGAGATGGCAGGACCCAGACAGATCCTCAGGACTCTCCCTGCCTCTGTTGCCATGGCAACACTGCTATTTTTATCCCGTTGTTCATGATGCTCAAAGCTCTAACTTTCTCTGTTCCAGAGAGGCCAGGCTGGCTTCTGCCCTCATCCTTCAATACAGCATCTTCTCCCAGAGGCCTGAGGATGGGAAAGAGTGATGGAGAAAAGGGGAGCCCCTTAGGTCACCCCTCAACCAGAGGGAACTGTTTAACAGGGGTTTGTCTCTGCCCTTTTGAGCCTTTGGTTTT